GTGCCAGGTGGTGAGGGCTTGTGGACTTGCAGTTGAAGATGACCAGCAGGTGATCAGCATTGTGAGGTTGGAAGTTTTGAGAAATAAAGAAGCGAAGTGTCCATTTGACAGCAGTTACCTAGAGATAACCAGTTCAGTGCTAAGTGCTTTACTGCTAACAAGAAAGTCAGCTGATTGAACTCCTCAGCTGCTCTGCAGAAGAAAGTTGTGACTGTTTCCATAAAGATTACAGTGCTTTGGAGCAGTTTACTCAGGTCTATGAATGTGTTTGGTAGTGGTGAATTGAGTGAAGGTTTACAGAGCAGATAGTCAGTTTTACATATTTGGTGTGGTTTTACCTAGAGATTACTGTTGAATCAGGGAAAGGAGAGACTTGTTTAAGGATAAAATCATTTCATGGGAAATTGAAGGTGACAGATGATGTAAACCTCACTTTTTAGAGGATCTGGTTCTTTGGATGTACCTGTTGTTAAGTGCCATCAAGTAAGTTCTGACTCATAGCAACCTTGTTATAGAACTTCCAAGTAGCTACTACTAGTGTATTTGAACTGCTCACCTATTGGGATTACCTGGATAATGGGAAAATGCAGTGGAGACATAAAAAGGAGGAAAAGGTTTCTGCTGAGGTTAGTTTCTCCTAGCCTGTTAGACCCTGCTCATGTGATTAGTTAATCAAATGTTACTGTTGTTGTTAAGTGCCAAGGTTTCCGAGACTTTCCATCTTCATGGGAGCAAAAAGGCTCATCTTTCTCCTGTGGGAGCAACTGGAGTGCTTGAACCATGGACCTTGTGGTTTTCAGGCCAGTGCTTACCGTATGGGGCCACTGGCAGTGTGTTCCCTTAACAGAATGAGCTACTCTAAAAGCGCACATCAACCCACCTTCGTTTCTAAGCGGGGCCTGCGTTTGTTCATTGGCTGCATTTAGTTTAATGTTACCTACTAGTGCATTCATTGTGAGTATCCTTGAATTGTGCTCTTCTTCTTCTGGAGAAGCCGAAAGGGAATAAGTAAGTAAACCGATATTGAATACCTAGTAAATGGTGTCTCATATCAGGAGAAGGGAAAAAACATATAGAGTGAAATGAACTTTGAACATATGATTCTCGCTTTTATTCTGAAGTGTGTGAAAACTGTACTTCCTAGAGTGAGAGTGATAGTTCAGGGAAGCAAGTTGTGTAGTCATCAGATATTGCTAGTCTGTATCAACCTTTCATTCACTCTTCAGTGGGATGAAAGTAATCAAGTTCATGGACTCAGCCATTCCTTCATAAGCTAGTCCCCACTAACAACCAGGCTGCTTACAATCCTGCCCTCTTCCCCTTCCCCTTGTAATTGCATAGTTCTTAATAAAAGTAGAAGCCTTTTCTAATAATTGGTATTTGAAAAAAATAAATAAAACTCAAATTACAAAAAAGGAGGCCCCAAACCAAGCCCACTGCTGTGGAGTCTATTCGGACTGATAGCAATCCAATAGGACAAAGTTAGAACTTCCCATAAAGTTTCCAGGGCTATAAATATCATCTTTCTCTCCCAGGGAGGCGGGTGGGTTCCGGCCATCAACTGTTTTTGCTACCCTAATACTTAACCCACTGCACTAATGTTTATTGCAGAGCTTTGTTATAGAATTAGGAGATACCTAGATCTTATTTAACAGATACTTTTCCATTTAAAACAAAATGACAGCTTTCCTGAATTTTGCTTATTGAAACAATCCTCACAGACTTAAACTCTAGTCTTACAGAAATCTGTTCATTGTAGTTTCTAGTACTATTCTTTTTATTACTGCTCACTGCAATCGAAAGATCTGAATTGTCAGTCCAAAATCAGAGCTTTTCTGATTAATACCAATACTGAATCTTAGACAAAATGTTAAAACTCTAGACCCTGATTAAGTGGCTTATGTCTGTATTCCAGGCTTGTAAACTTTCTTGCCTTCATTCACCGATTGCCTAAATACCATGAAACAAGATCAACTTCACTTTCCTCCATTTTAGGAGTCATTTTCTTCCCTAAAAGATTATTCATACGTAGAACCAGCAAACTTGAGTGACTTAAGGGTAGGGTGCACAGCTGATTATTGTGATTGATGCTGATAAATTATGTACCTATAAAAGTTGAATTGGCCAAAGTTGTGTGATAGGTATATTTATAACAGTGACCAAAAGAAAGAAGAAGAAAAAAGTAGCTTCTGAGATTGCTATGTACAACCAAATACCTCAGGGGATTTCATTCCTAGATTTGGAGGTTGAGGGTGGTGGCTTAATGGGACATCCTAGTTAAATGCTTCTGTCCTAACTCCTAATTTGTTGTGAGTGCCTGGGGTCTTAAAAGCTTGCATCCAAAGCACAGTTGATCTCTATTCACCTGGAACAGCAAAGGAAGATGAAGAATCTGAAACAGGCAACTGATGAGCAACTCTGCCTCCTTTGCCTTGTGACCTGAAGAGTTACCATTACCAAATATTTGGATCAAAGATTCAGTTGCTTATAAGATGTTTGATTTTGTTATTTGTGAAGTATGCTGGCAAGAAGGGAGAAAATGCAGAACAGAATTTTAGTTTCTCATGGACTCGACTTTGTGGAGCTACTGAGGTTAGATGAGTCCCTGAAACTATTGCTCTTAAACCCTTATTTAATCTGTAAACCTTAAAACCAAAAATATCCCTGAAGTCTTCATAAAACCGGTAATAGTGTGCCTAAGCTAGTATGGTGTGGTGCCGTGGGTTAATGCGCCAGACTGCAAAGCCATTTGAACTGCAAGGTTGGCAGTTCAAGCTCACCAGCTGCTCCTTGGAAACCCTATACAGGGTTGCTATGGGTCGGAACCGACTCAACGGCACTTCACAACAATCACAACAAGTTAGTAAAAAAGGCCTGCCTGAGTATTATGCTCTCTTAAGACCTGGTCGGTGAGTTTATGTTAATGGAGAAGAAACAACTTAGAAAAGGAAAGTAAGCGATGGTTGCACAACTCGAAGAATGTAATCAATGTCACTAAATTGTGCATGTGGTGGTGGTTCCGACTCACAGCGACCCTGTACAGGGTTTCCAATGCTGTAAATCTTTATGGGAGCAGAAAGCCTCATCTTTCTCCCTCGGAACAGCTGGTAGTTTCGAACTATTGGTATATGTTCTACTGTATATATTCTCAACAACAAAATAAAATTTAAGTAGGAAAAAACAAACAAACAAAAAACCCACTACTGAAACAGAGAAAATGGGCAATGTGAGTCTTCTTACCTTAGACTTTTCTTTGAGTTGTTATTAAGTGCCATGGAGTCAGTTCCAACCCATAGGTTTCCCAAGGAGTGACTGGTGAGTTTGAACTGCTGACCTTATTGTTCAAACCAACCTTGTGATCCTGTGCTTATCCTACAGCGCCACACCAGGTGACCTTTTTTCTAGATGAAAAAAAAAATTGAAATTTCCAATTGCAATCAGACCATTGATTAATAAACTCCTGTCTTGCTTCTGACTTTGCTAAACCGTGTAGAACAGTCTTGCTAATAATCAAGGCTCTGCTGGCAGAATCCACACTAAATGCTTCTGGGCATGTGGGTTTTGCTATGTCATGGAGTGGTAGGTTTCTTCTCCACCTTGCTTATCTGTGGAAATAGCTTTTGAAAAGACACCTAAAAAATATCCATTCTATTTCTGTGGCTTACTGTAGACATAACTTTTGTATTCAGTGATAAAATATTCCAATACAGGAAATAAATGAGTTCATATTTTTACCTCTCATTAATTGTTGTTGTTGTTTTAGTGCTAGTGAGTTGGATCTGATTCATAGCGACCCTGTATAGGGTTTCCAAGGAGCGGCTGGTGGGTTTGAACTGCTGATCTTGCAGTTCAAACTCAACCTTATGGTTGAGTGCTTATGCTATAGTGATATGTAAGGACTGCTTAACTGACGGTGGGAGAGACTCAAATTCTGGTTCTCATTTACTGAAGTTAAAGGATTTTAGTGATGGAAGAGAGGCTGGAAACCTCTTTTGTAGATCCTTACTTCTAGAGTGTGTATTTCAGTAATCATAAGGACAACCTGAGTGCTCTACATGTTTCTCAGATTCTGCCATGTACTGATTTCATTTGGTCCTCAGTGGCCTCATGAAGTTGGAGGTTTGAGTGTTACCAATTCCAATGTTCAGATAAGAGCCTACAGTTAAGCGTGGCCATGAGTTGCTTATGGGACATAGCTAGTTAAACTTGGATTTGAACCTAGTTTTTTTTAATTTCCAAACACAGTGTTCCTTTTCAAACTCTGCTAAGCCCTTCTCAAGGAGTCCTGGGTAGCACAAATAATTAAGCTTTCAATTAAGCCAAAAGGTTGGAAGTTCAAACCCCTACCAGAGGTACCTCAGAAGAAGGCCTGGAGACCTGAAAGACCACATTCTTTGGTCACAAGAGGTTGCCATGGTCAGAATCAACTTGACAGCAACTAACAAGCCCCTTCAAGACCTTTCTCAGATTAGCTGTGAGATTCTCCTACTAGAAGGTTATTCAGAGGGTGAATGGACAGCCCAGACCTATGCATTATTTAATCCCTCTTCTTGAAAACGAAAATTGTTGCTTTCTTGGAAAGATTTGGGATGTTGGGCTCATTTGGTGGTAGGCAGTTGTTTATGGGATGTTTGATATTGCCATTTGTGAATAGCTGCTGTTTGGCAAGGAAAAAGGAATTGTGAAGTTTGTGTACTGTAAGTTTGTGAGTTCCCTAAGTAACTTGGGAACAGATAGTTTAAGAGGTGAGGAAGTTAGCTCTGAGAAACTTCCCAAACTTTGTGAGTCTCCAGCTCATTAATGCTTGATCCTACTGTAAAAGAGGGGATCTTATCTGGGAGGAGAGGCGACTGAGTTTCCGTTTAGAATGTGTGCTTTCTTGGCTACAGTGCGATCTCAGTTGACTAGGACTGAGGCTTTCATAGCCTGAACTTGGAGGCTTTTGTGGAATGAAACACAGTCTCGTTCTTGCTCTTACATGTTGTCTTTCCCTCCCTCAGTGGGCTACCTTGAGAATGGAGAGAGGAGCCAAGGAGAAGAACCACCAACTGTACAAGCCCTATACCAATGGTAAGACTAGGTCTTGATTCTCAATCTGAAAGGTCCCTTCCAGATATGCTCCTAAATCTTTTAATGCCATATATACTGTTCACTTAGAAAATGTAGGATGTGTACTTGGGAGTATTTTTAACATACTGTCTCCCAACATGCTGCCTGATGGTATTCTCTTTTGCAGGAATCATTGCAAAAGATCCCACTTCACTAGAAGAAGAGATCAAAGAAATTCGTCGAAGTGGGAGTAGTAAGGCTCTGGATAACACTCCAGAGTTTGAGCTCTCTGATATATTCTACTTTTGCCGGAAAGGAATGGAGACCATTATGGATGACGAAGTGACGAAGAGATTCTCAGCAGAGGAATTGGAGTCCTGGAACCTATTGAGCCGCACCAATTATAACTTCCAGTATATCAGTTTGAGGCTCACTGTCTTATGGGGGTTAGGAGTGCTGATTCGCTATTGCTTCCTTCTGCCACTCAGGTGAGGGTGGGCCCCAAGCAGGAAAATGGCTTGCTCTGTCACTGCCTAGGCCTAATGCATGATCTATCTACCTTGCTTTCCCTGCTTTGTGCCCCATTTTAGAATGAAGGCCAAAGGAAACTTTCACTGACCAGTCCCACTGCTTCTTGGAAGGAGACACTGGTGATTGTCCTTTAATAGCCATTGGAGTCTCTGCATATCAGACAGACAGTTTCATAAAGATAAATTGCTTGTCCGAGTGGAATAAACACAGGGGCAGGGAACATCATGTACTTTCTGGCCACTCTTCCATGGACATGGCTAATTCTTTCGTACCTCTTCAGCACCGAGGCAGTATCGATCACAGTTTTATGTACCTTATGGTACTTTTGAGTATGTCTTGCTGGATACTGGTGCCTTCGGCCCCCCCCCCCCCCAATTGTTTCATATAGAAGCTGTGCTGCTGCCAGGGTTGAAACCAAAGGGAAAGGTAAGACAACAGGTGTCCAAGGGTGGGATGGCCGACTTTAGGGCTTTCCTGCTTGAGGCAGTGGTATCCTCTGAGAGCCAGATTCAGAATCTACTGTCAGTTTGAAATGGAAATGAGCTCTAGTTTTCAGAGGCTACTCTTTATTTTTGGTGAAATGTGTCTAGGGCCAACTTCACATCATCTTAGAGTAGTTTTTGTGATGCCCCCCCTGTGGTTTTTGCATTATCAGTTCTGTACTTGGTGCAAGGATTTCTCGTTTGTTGTCATTTAACCTGTCTTCTTCTCCCAGGATAGCTCTGGCTTTCACGGGGATTAGCCTTCTGGTGGTGGGCACATCCGTGGTGGGATACTTGCCAAATGGGAGGTGAGTAGAGCTCTAGTGTCCATGTCTGAGGGGAGCTGGTTGTGGGAACAGTGGTTCCGGCATTGGAGGTCACAGAACTTGGATGACTGAAATAACCCAGTAATAACAATGAGATCAGCATTCAGTTACTACTGAGCTTGACCTGTACTGTGGGCTTTTTGCCCTCTAACCTTCATACATTACGTTTTAAATGCAAAAGGGAAAAAGTACAGAAATATTGAGGTTAGGTTTCAGATGTTAACAGCTTTTATAGTATGTTGTTTAGTTTAGAGCTTTCTAAGGATCTCCGGGTGGAGTCCTGGTGTGGCGCTGTGGGTTAATACGCCAGACTGCAAAGCTATTTGAACTGTGAGGTCGGCGGTTCAAGCTCATCAGATGCTACTCGGAAACCCTATACAAGGTCGCTATGGGTTGGGATCGACATGATGGCACTAAACAACAACAACAACAGGAGTCTGGGTGGTGCAAGCAGTTGCATTCAAATGCTAACCTGAAGGTTGGTGGTTCAAATCTACTCAGTGACTCTGGAAAAAACGGCTAGACGAACTGCTTCTGTAAAGATCACAGCCAAGAAAATATTATAGAACAGTTCTACGTCGTAACAACACATGGGCGCCCTATGAGTCTGACCAGCTTGGTAGTGGCTAACAGCAACTGCATTAATAGATAAATTGGTTAAGAGGATTTTAATAAGTGATTAGAAACATTGGCAGAATTTACTTTTTTTTTTTTAAGAAAAACCTGCCTCTTCTAGGAAGTTCTGGGGCTTAGCAGACCCCTCTTCTGCCCAGGCTAATGAGAAGGTGTGACTTTGGCTTTGCCCCACCTCCAGGTATAGACTGAGGAGGAAAGGAATCTTAAGAGCATCCTGACTTACCTAGGCTGGAAATTCTTCTGAACTCACTAACTTAGATGAACGGAAGCAAGTCTCATCATTACTTGTTTCCGTAAGTGCAGGATATTATAGGGCTTTACCATACACACAAATACTTCACCAGTATTTTGCAGGCATAAAGGACCATAGGCAGGCAGTAACAGTTGAATTGTTGGCATCAACAACTTTTCCTACCTTCCTAAAGGTAAAACAGAACAAAAATCTCCATCCTATTGTTGCAGGTTTAAGGAGTTCTTGAGTAAGCATGTCCACCTGATGTGTTACCGGATCTGTGTGCGAGCGCTGACAGCCATCATCACCTACCATGACAGGTGAGGCCTCTGCGCACTAGTACATAGGGCGCCTCACAGCACCCGGCCCACCTAGAGCCAGCCCAGCAGGGGATTTTCTGAGTTTTCCTCAGAGCTGAAGAATCTTGTGAGGGAGGGGTGTGCTCCAAATAAATGTTTTCATTTTAACTTTGTTGCTTTGTATACATTTTTCAAACCAGGAAAAACAGACCTAGAAACGGTGGGATCTGTGTGGCCAATCATACTTCTCCTATTGATGTGATCATTTTGGCCAGTGATGGCTACTATGCCATGGTAAGATATCTTGTTGTTTTCTCTGGCAAAACTTTGTACTCTAGACCTGTCGGGCCTGGGAGGCTGCTGGACCCTTCCCAGAGAACTTTCTGAGATACAAACACATGAACATACTTTCTGTATGTGAGACCCAATATTTTGCATGGATCACCTTGGTCACCTCAGTTTCTGTTGCTGTGGGGAACTCCTTGTAATTTTGATAGAAGAAATTATGAGCAGAAGCAGCCCTGGGTCTCTGAGAGTGTGCTTGGAGATTATACTCTGGCTCTTCCTTCAGCCTTGAAAATGAGTGAAGGTTAGGGAAGGAAGATTTGAAGGGACTGAATTCAAGGGCATGTGAGGATCTTCCCAAGAAGGAACATTTTGTTGTTGTTTTTTCAGTTATATTCGTAATTAAACATCCACTGGACCACAAGGTCAGTTTGAATTGCAAGGTCGGTGGTTCAAATTCACCAGCCCCTCCTCAGAAACCCTTTTGTATAGGGTCACTGTGAGTCCAAATCGACTTGATAGCACCACAACACCATTACCAGTTGAAAGGAAGAAATTTAAGACCCAGTAAAATATTAGAAGCACATGAATCCTGGTAGGGCACTGTCAGATAAGCACAGAACTGCAAGGTCATTTTGAGCCATGAGGTGGGCTATTCAAACCCACCATCCACTCCTTTGAAACCCTGTGCATGGTGTCTGTGAGTCAGAACTCCACGGCACATAACAGCAACACCAATAGCGGTTAACAGTACATGTTAGATGTTGAGAGATTGAGGACCTCTTGGACCTGGGGTTTCTTCCCTGTGAGTGGAGGGGAGGTGGCAGTGGGGTAGGATTTGTATGAGGATGACTCCCCTAAGAATAATTTCTTTATCTGAGATTAGGTGGGTCAAGTGCACGGAGGACTCATGGGTGTGATTCAGAGAGCCATGGTGAAGGCCTGTCCTCATGTCTGGTTTGAGCGCTCTGAAGTGAAAGATCGCCACCTGGTGGCCAAAAGGTAAATTTCACAAAACACTCTTGTTTTCTGTGATCCTATATAAAAACTCTGGTAGCATAGTGGTTACGACTCGGGCTGTGAACCGCAAGGTCAGCAGTTCGAAACTACCAGCTGCTCCGCGGGAGAAAGATGAGGCTTTCTACTCCCGTAAAGATTTACACCCTCGGAAACCCTGTACAGGGTCGCTATGAGTCGGTTCCGACTCCACGGCACATAACAACAACAACAACAACATACAAAAACTAATCAGAAGCTGCAATGAGTTTCGATGACGAGTAAGACTGAGGAATTCACACTGACCGCCTAAGACAGGCAGCGTCCCTTAAACAAATAATAAATAAGGGGGAATCTGATGCAGACCGTGCAGACCCGGTCAGGCGTTCAAGTCCCCGTGGGCCCAAGCGTTGCTGACCGTCCAAACCATAGGCTCTGAGGATCAGACTTTAGCCACCTAGCAGACATAGCAAAATGTCCCTTTTCTGATTATTCAGTTATGCTGGTTAGTAATTCCATACATGAGCCCTGGATACCCACAGATAAATGTAAAAACCTTCCCTAAAAGCCGAGACTGTAAATTCCAAAAAGGCAAAGTTTCCCCCCCACAAAAAAGCTAAAGAGGATATAGAGAAACTCTGTTAACTGATGGTATGTGGAGGGGATTATAATCAATGTAATGAAACAAGGTATATGAATGTTTGAATGTGAAACCGATGATGTGCCCTGAAAATTTTCACTCAATCCACAATAAAAACCTTAAAAAAAAAAAAAAAAAAAAACTAATCAGAAGAGAACATTTTAGGCGCTGAGTTGGAAGCAACTTGACAGCAGTGAAATTCCTTCACAGTGGAATTGCAAGTAATTTTTTTTGCTTTTTGGCACTTTTTTAGTGTTTTCTACATTGAGCCTGTACTGCTTTAAAAATAAAAACATTTTCTGAAGCATGAACTATACAAAGGGGCTTCAGAAAATTTGTAGAAAAATTCCACTATATTTTCGTTACATTTTTCCTTGAACTTTTTGAAGCCCTCCTCATACAGATGTGGTGGTGGTGGTGGTGTTTTTAAGTGCCATTGAGTCAGGTCCGACTCATAACGAACCAGGACCAGCTGGTGAATGTGAACCGCTGACCTTTCAGTTCAATCTGAATGCTTCTCATACAAGAATATGAACTGTCTTAGGCTGGGTTTTCTAGAGAAGCAAAACTAGTGAAACACATGAGTCGGAGCCGAGTCCATGGCACATAGACAACATATACATACATATATATATATATATATAAAGAGAAGTTTATTATCAAGGAAATGGCTTACAACTACAGAGTCCCAGGTCCCCAGAGGAACAGACAAGAGAGTCCCCCCTACATGTCCATTATATTGGGAGTAGGCCACACCTCTAAGGAAGCATCCCTTCAGTTGACTGGCAGCTTATAGCCACTCATCATAGAGTTAACTATGCCTGTGTTAGGTTTTATCACCATGGGAATAAGCACAATCCAACTCCTAAACCTCTGGACATCCTGGCCTAGTCAAGTTGACACAGAACCCTAACTACAAGTTAGGGCTATTTACAAGTTAATATTTTTAGCCTTTTAGATTTCCTTGTTCCTGCATAATAAGCAAAATAGAAACTTTTAATGCTATTTAAAAACTCAAAATGAATTATTAGAAATCACAAAATGAATTATTGTCACAAATAGAAACAAACCAAGGCAGTGGAACAAAGGGCTTTCTCTTTTCAAGCTTAGAGAAAAGGTGGATCTAGTACAAGTAATGGAAAGGGCTTTGTTGTAGACTGAGAAGAATTGAGGTGAGGTCATCTTCCACTGAGTAAGTGACCCATTCACCCATGTCTCTCTGGTGCATCTCTCAGTATTGCACCAGGTGGCTGTAGGTTCAGCCTGACATTTATTGAGGGTGATGAGTGCCAGACCCTGTGCCAGGTTTTTTTTTAATCTTGATATTCCCAAGTCTTAACAGTATCTTCTAGTACAGACTGTTCATTCTTATTTTTTTAATTGTGCCTATTGAATAGTGATTATCTGCTTTTCCCGCTCTTTATAATTTTTGTCTTTTTAAAAAGGCCTTAGACTTTATAAAGGGCAAGTTTGTATCTTTTAACTTGCTTTTATACAACATGTAGACTAGTTCACATCTAAATAGTTTACTTATAGATGCATTTTGAAATGATTGACACAATGCTATCTAATCCTGGTTTTCTTTTTCTCTTCTGAAGACTGACAGAGCATGTGCAGGATAAAAGCAAGCTGCCTATCCTCATTTTCCCAGAAGGTAAGCACTGATCACTAGAAAAGAACTTCTGTATAGAGAAAACATGTGCTGGGGTATAGTCAAGGAACCAGGTCTCTCATGCTAGGGTTATCTATTTTCAGAAAATAATGTCACGTCCCCTCTCAATTAGTGGTGAAACTAAAAACTCAAGAGAATTTCAGAGCTTAGAAGAGTGGTATAGGTGAACTTCAAAGAAACAAAAACGTCTTTTGAGTTGGTTCTAATTAATGTGTGCTAAATCCACGTATGGCAGAGTATAGAACTGTGTTCCATAGAGTTTTCAGTGGCTGATTTTAGAGAAGTACATCACCAGGCCTTCCTTCCAAGGCACCTCTGGGTAGGATTAGGCAAATGTTGAATCATCTTTGCCACCCAGGGACTCCAGAGTGAACTTCCTCATTGCAAAAACACTTCTCTAATATTCTCAACAGAGTCTTGAAGCTTCCTATACAGTTCTCACTTAAACCTCCCAAGTCTGCTGAGATCTCTGATCTAATTGAGGCTGATAGATGTTAATCTGGGGAAATGGTCCTGCAAAAGATTTGGAAGTAATACAGTGCTTTACTTTTCTCGTTTATGTGTTTACTCATAAGTTAGGAAGGTGATAGATTTATCCTGTTTGAAGAGTATTTAGAAAAACTTTGATTATGTATAGATTTAAGGAATACCTAATGTAGGGGATAAAAGACCAGAAAAAATAGCATTTCATTCTCTTTTACTTTTTAGGAACCTGCATTAATAATACCTCGGTGATGATGTTCAAAAAGGGAAGTTTTGAAATTGGAGCCACAGTTTACCCTGTTGCTATCAAGGTACTTCTGAGGGTGCCTGTTGTCATCATTGCAACTGCCTTGAAGGAATGCAGCAAGAGGAGGTGGGGGAAGGAGCTGGTGCCACTCCTCTGTGGGCTGGTCCTCTCCATTAGAGCAGGTGGGGGCTGACTGGTAGAGGAGGAGAATGCCAAATTGTTCAGACTCCGTCAAAAGAGGCTGGAGAGTATTTGAACCAAGGGATAGCCATGTTCCCGTCCACACCTTACTTAACTGCCACCACCAGATTCAGAAAACGGTTAAATCCAGCGCAAGTTATCCCCTGTCTGTAAACCTAGCTGGAAAGTAGGACATTTGACTTGAAAAAATGGCCTATTGCAGGGAGCAAGGGTGTGACTAAGCCATGCTGGGTGGAAAAGTGGGGATGGATGGGTCCTTATCACTGAAGAAGTAATGCAGTGCCATTGTGTTGGCTTGTGGCATTATCACGTATACCTAGAAAGCTCAGAAAAGTGAACTGGCACTTATGAGCTATCTAATTTACCCCTGAACCCTTGGGGACTTGTACCTCTAACTGTTCAAATTCACTTGGAGAGCCGGGAATCAGTAAGCTAGTCAGTTTGGCTTTGTTTATTCCTCCCATTTTTGTCCCCTTTACAGCCTTCTGATTTCATAAATTGTAGTTGTTCATTAATAGATACATAATACTTCTCAAAGAACTCAAGCGTTACATTATTATAATTAAAAACACAGGCTCATGTCAGTGTTTACAGCATATGGTTGAAATCCCCTATAGGGTAAAATTTGAGTAAATTTGAGTCAGAGTTACATTAGAATTCAGTCTCCAAAATTGCCTCTAGAGTATTCTGTAGAAATAGCTCTTGCTTTATTTTGAAATAAAGCTAGTGTCATAGGGGAGAAGAGTTATTGTACTTGGTTAAGCAAACATTTTTTCCAGCCACTCACCTTGGACCAGTTAGGTAAAGCATCAGGACAGGATGGCAGATGAACATTAGCTAGCTGTAGGGAACTCTGCTCTGACCAGTGGGTAGACCTTCCAGAGTGGCTGGTTGAGGATGCTGGGTTTGGGAGCATAGTCTGTTAGAAGCATTTGCCATGGGTGGAGGAGTGGGGAATGGCATTTGCACCCCATCGGTCGGTCCCATCCTGTGTTAGTGTAGTGGGAGTCAGGTGTGTCACCATCCATGTTCCTGTGAGGGAAGCAGCTCCAAACCCATAGTTACTAACTTTGACAGTTTAGCTGTCAGTTAAGAAAAATTGGCATCTGAACACTTAATTTCATCACAAGGTAGAATTATGAGCTTTGCTAGACTGAAATTATTCATAGGCCAAAAGCCTTCAGATTTCATGTTCTATAGCATTCTCTCCCCTTGGTCAGAGATTAATGATGATCACATCAATGACCAAAACTTGAACTTTGCTGGACACCTAGATGGCGACTGTCATAAAATTCCTTAAATTCAATTTTAAAATTCTTTTACCAGACACCATGTGGTTCTTCACTAGGGCTTCACACAGGAGTGGCATCTCCATCAGGCTTCTTGTAGAGCTGTTGCTCTTTAACGCTTTTTTGTTGTTGTTATGTGCCATGGAGTCGGTTCCGACCCATAGCGACCCTGTACAGGGTTTCTGAGGCTGTAAATCTTTACGGGAGCAGAAAGCCTCATCTTTCTCGCGCGGAACCGCTGGTAGTTTCGAACTACTCACTGTGAAGTTAGCAGCCCGATTTGTAACCACCACGCTACCAGAGCTCCTTTACATTTATTAATTTCTGAAAACCTACGTGTCCTTTTGGAATCAGCTATACAATCTAGACATAATTATCTTTTTATTCAGAGAATCATAGAACTCATCTGGGAATACCAAAGAGATCATACAGCTTCAACTCAGTCCTATTGTAGGATTACCATAGGATCCCCAGGAGGTGTTCCCTTAGATGTCTTCCAGTGAAGGGACATTTATAACTGACAGTGGCATGTTGGCTCATTGTGGGGAGAACTCTTGGAGTTCTATCTCATTTTAATTTTCCAATCTCTGGTCCTAAACCTTTCTGTTATAATTACACAAAGGCAGTCTAGCAACTTTGCTGGCCTTTTTAAACATTACATAGCAGTTTCCTGACAGTTGCTTCAGGCATTCCTCTGAAGGACTCATACCTTTTTGTTACTTCTTGTACAACTTCTTTCTCTACCGTTTCTTCCACCCTTGCTTATATGCCATCTGAATCATTCTTCTGATTGGTGAAAAAGAGATTCACAGCCACAGCCACATTGCCCCACAAAATGCTGTTCAGGTATAACCTTTCACCTCAGTGAGAGATGTTGGCAAATGTAAGTGTATGAGTGTCTGATAAGCCTGCTCCTTGGTGGGAAATGAGCAGAGCTCATATGATTGAGATCTCATGACATTCTGGGTGTGTATCCATTTATTAATGAACTCTGATGACTAAAAAGAGACTCTTCTCATTAGTAATAGTATAGCTGCAGAAATGTATCACAAGCTTTCCAATTGTTTCTTCCTTGGTATGGGGCACCAGAAATTGTAATAACAGTGGGTGAGGAGTATGTAAGGAAATCCGCTTCTTTGGGTAGGATACATGTTGAAGTATTTTACAACAGAAATGGCATGATGCTGGAGATGAGCTGTACAGAGGGGAGGGGTCGATGATGAAGTACAGTGGAATGTGGATATGTGTGGAATCTGAGGAGTAGGTATGTAGGCAAAGTATTAATCCATCTTTAATATGCTAGGAAACTAATGACAAAGCATGCAAGTGAATAAGATAGGGATTTAATTTAAGAGGGAAATAGTGGCTTGTTTGAAGAAGACAAATCCCCCCTCATGATCTACAGGGGAAGCTTTGGTACATCGAGGGATTGACTGAAAGGTTCCTACAGGTCACAACTGCCCAGTGGTAGAATTACTTCAGAAGTGTTCCTATAAGGAGTCTGACAGCAGCAGTGTCTAGCACTGATCCTACCCCAGGTGACCCTCACACATTGTTAGAACTGCTGACTTCGTATCATTCAGCTTTCCATTTTTTCCAGTATGACCCTCAGTTTGGTGATGCCTTCTGGAATAGCAGCAAGTATGGGATGGTGACGTACCTGCTGAGGATGATGACCAGCTGGGCCATTGTCTGCAGTGTTTGGTACCTGCCACCCATGACCAGGGAGGTAAGTGTTTCCAGCAGCAGTGCAGAAGTCTTGTGTGTGACTGTGTGCCTGGCTTGAGTGGACTCTTTCTTTCTTACAGACTGATGAAGATGCTGTCCAGTTTGCAAACCGAGTGAAATCTGCCATTGCCAGGCAAGGAGGACTCGTGGACCTACTATGGTGAGTTTGGAGCCAGGCATAATTGACTCAGTGTAGAAGAACATGAATTTCTGAAGCAGATGCTGATTTAATGACTTCATTTACAAAGGATTTTACCTGCATCAGATATTGGGCGTGTTGACACATTTCTCCTAGTTCCTACACAAAAATCCTCTGTGCTACTTTGACCTGTCCTTAGGGAGTGTGGACTTGGAATGAAGCAGTCAATTCTGTGTGACCATTTGGGGTTTGTACCATTCTACTGTGTGCCGTAAAATTAGTTCCTACTCATAGCAACTTTGTGTACTACACTGTCCGGTCTTGCACCATCCTCACAATAGTTACTATGTTTGACCCATAGTTGTACCCAGTGAGTCAATCCTTCTTGTTGAGGGTCTTTGTCTTTTTCACTGAACCTCTAACTTTACCAAGCATGATGTCCTTTCCCAGTAACTAAGTCCCTCCTGATAATATGTGCAAAGTAGGCGAGACAGAATGTCATTAAAATCACTTTTAAGGAGCGTTCTGCCTTGACCTCTTCCAAGACAGATTTGTTCATTCTCCTGGCAGTCCGTGGTACTTTTGATATTCTTTGCCAATACCATAATTCAAATGCATCCATTCTTCTTGGTCTTCCTTTCAGATTGTCCAGTAATGCATGTATATGGGGCAATTGAAAGTACCATGGCATGGGTCAGGCGCACCTTAGACCTCAAAGTCACATCATTGCTCTTTAACACTATACAGAGGTCTTTTGCAGCAGATATGTCCAGCGCAGCAATTTCTTGACTGCTGCTTCCAGGAGCATTGATTGTGGGTCTCAGTAAAATGAAATCTTGACAACTGCAATATTTTCTATGTTTATCATGATGTTGCTGATTGGTCCCATTGTGAGTATTTCTCTTTTCTTTACATTGAAGTGTAATCCATACTGAAGGCTGTATTGTTTGATCATCCTCAGTAAGTGCTTCAAGTCCTCTTCACTTTTAGAAATCAAGGTTTTATCATACATAGTAGCTTAAGTATAATGAAAGAGCCCTGACCCATGCCTATCCTGGTTTCAAATCGCACAGTATGTCTTGTTCTATTTGGACAACTGCCTCTTGATTTGGGTACAAGTTTCACAGGAGCACAATGAAATGTTCTGGAATTCCCATTCTTCATAGAGTTATCTGTATTTTGTTATGATCCACACAGTTGAATGCCTTTGGATAGTCAGTAAAACACAAGTAGTAGATATCTTTCTAGTATTCTCTGCCTTTCAGCCAACATCTATCTGATGTCAGCATTGATAAGTCTTGTTCCACATCCTTTTCTGAATCTGTCTTGAATTTCAAGCAATTTCCTGTGAGTGTACTGCTACAATGGTTTTTGAATTATTCTCAGCAAAGGTTTACTTGCATGTGATATTAATGGTATTGTTCAATAATTTTTGCATTCTGTTGGATCACTTTCTCACTGGAACAGACATAAATATGGATCGCTTCCATTTGGATAGCCAGGTTGCCATCTTGCAAATTTCTTGGCATAGAGCTTCCAGCATTGCATTCCTTTGTTGAAATATAGGCAGTTCCCAGGTTTTGAACATCCAACTTACTGACAATGTCTTCTGGCCTTTTAATGCAGAGCTTTGAACTGGGTCTGTCATGCCCACTAAATAGGAACAGACCTAGATTTTTACAGCTTGTGTGATTTGTCACAGTAACAGAAACAGGAAAAATTTTGGACTAAAAAACCCTGAAATGGGAAACTCAAAAGAGGCATTGTAAACCCTATCAGGAACATGATTTGTGACATTGGATTATAAGCAGGACTGTCGAAAGCCACACACATCCAAAGCAGCGCAGTGGCCACCTTTATCTTTGAATAAGGCAGTGCTGTTTTGAAGATCTCCTTTAATTTTGTATAAATTTGCCCTCACTTTGAGAAGATTTAACCAATGAATTCATCATCACGGTCACTTTCATTTCCTGCATGTATAGCTTTTAAATCATTAAAAAGGCTTAGAGCCTTTTCTTGTACTAAAGTAAGGCTAAATAAGAACCATATGTACTTGTTCCTACAGACCTACAGCTTCTTAAAAAATACAGTTGTTGTTAAGGGCGTCAAGTCGGTACCGACCCATAGCGACCCTGTATAGGGTTTCAGAGAAGCAGCTGGTGAGCTTGAACCACTGATTTTGTGGTTCAAATTGACCTTGCAGTCCAGCACATTATCTTGTAGAGCCACATCAGGACTCCAAAAAACACAGTTAAAAATTAATTTTGTTTGTAACCTCAGGGACAGCCTATATCTCACCCAGTATTCTTTCCATTTCTGGAGGTTTGTTTCTCACCAATGCCTTCAGTGTAGCTGGGACTTCTTCCAGAATCCTGGTGTGGTGCTGTAGGATGTGCACTCGACTGCAAGGTTGGCAGTTCAGACTCACCAGCTGCTTCTCTGAAACCCTATCCAGAGTTGCTATGAGTTGGAACAGACTTGACAACACTTAGCAGCAACACCACAAGTTTCTGAAATAGTTGAACATCTACTAGTTTATCTTTGGTATAGTGACTTCCTGTATTCTTTCCAACTTCTTTGGATGCTTCATGTGTCATTGAGTCTTTTGCCCATACCAAAACCAAACCCACTACTCTTGAGTCAATTCCTGTTTCCATCGACACTGTAGGCTAGAGTAGAACTGGCCCATAGTGTTTCTGAGGCTGTAAATGATAAATCTTGATGGCAGTAGACTGTGTCATTGTTCTCCCATGGGATAGCTGATGGATGGGAATCACCACCCTTACAGTTAGTAGCCCAACATTTAACCCACCATGACATCCGGCTTCCTTTTATTTTTCGGCTTCCATTTTGCCAGTGTTGTTGTTAAGAACCTTAGAGTCAGGTTCCAACCCATAGCGACCCTGAATAGGGTTTCCGAGGAGCAGCTGGTGAGCTTGAACTGCCGACCTTGTGGTTCAAACCAAGTTTGCAGTCCAGTGCATTAACTAACAACGCCACACCATGACTCCATTTTGCCTGTGTTGTTGTTGTTAAGTGCCATTGAGTTGGTTGCGACCCTGTATAGGGTTTCCAAGGAGTGACTGGTGAGCTTGAACTGCCGACCTTGCAGTTCAAACGGCTTTGCAGTCTGGTGCATTAGCCCACAGCGCCACACCAGGACTCCAGTGTTGTTGTTGTTACGTGCCGTGGAGTTGGTTGTGACTCATAGCAACCCTGTACAGGGTTTCCGAGGCTGTAAGTCTTTACGGGAGCAGAAAGCCTCATCTTTCTCCCGCGGAACAGCTGGTAGTTTCCAACTGCTGACCTTGCGGTTTGCAACCCGATTTGTAACCACTACGCTACCAGAATCCTTAATATTACAACTCAAGGCATGGATTTCTTTTTTTAATTCTTTCAGCTTGAGAAATACCAAGCATGTTACTCCCTTTTTTGTTTTCTAACTCTAAGTCTCTGCTATTTTATTACAATATTGTCTTCTGGAGCTGCCCTGTGAAATTTTATGTGCATCTCTTTTGCTTCACATTTCTTTGATTCATTTCAGCTATTGTATGTTCAAGAGCAAGTTTCAGGGTCTCTTTTGACATCCATTTAAGTGTTTTCTTTTTTTCTCCTGTCTTTTTAATTACCCTTTGCTTTTTTCATGTATGATGTCATTGATGTTATCCCACAATTTGTCTGATCTTCAGTGATTAGTGTCCAGTTTGTCAAATCTCTTGTTAAGGTGATCTCTAAAGTGAGGTGGAATATACACAAGGTTGTACTTTGGCTCATGTGGACTTGTTTTCATTTTCTTCAGCTTTAACTTGAACTTGCATACAATGAGCAATTGATGGCCTATTTCACAGTTGGTCTCTGGCCTTATTCTAACTGATGATACTGAGTTCTCATGAATGTAGGTGGTTTGATTTATGTATTACGTTCTGCAAGGTCCACATGTATAGTCATCATTTATGTTGCTGTAAAAGGAGATTTCCAGTGAGTAGGTTGTTGGTCTTGCAAAATTCTATCGTGAGATCTCTGATGCATTTCTATCACCAAGGCCATGTGTTCCAACTACTGATCCTATCCCTCTGTTTCCAGTGTACGAATTCTAGTCACCAGTAATTATCGGTGTGTCTTGGTTGAATATTTGATCCATTTCTTCATCTTTGTCATGAGTTGTTGGTGGATGAATTTGAATAGTAGTCATATTAATTGGTTATCCCTGTAGGTGTATGGTTATTGTATCAGTGTTGTACTTCAGGCTAGATCTTGAAATGTTCTTTTTGATAATGAATGTAACGTTACTCCTCTTTAATTTCTCATTCTTGGCACAGTAGACCACGTGATTGTCCCATTCAAAATAGCCAGCACCACTCCATTTCATGCATTAATGCCTAGGGTATGATGAATCTTCATTGATATTTCATGTTTTACAACTTCCAGTTTCCTGAGATTCCTACTTTGTACACTGCACATTCCAACTATTAATGGATATTTGCCGATGTTTCTTCTCATTTTGAATTGTGCCGCATCAGCAAAGGAAGGTCCTAAAAGTTTTACTCCATCCACATAATTAAGATTGACTATTTTGTGGAGGTACCATGGTAGTGCAGTGCTTGACAGTCACAGCTGCTCAGCCAGAGAAAGATATGGCAGTCTGCTTCTGTAAAGATGTAGAGCCTTGGAAACCTATGTGGTAGTTCTGGCTTTCCAGGTTGCTATGAGTTGGAATCAACTTAACTGCCAGTGGGTTGGCTACTTAAAGGAAGCAGTTCTTTCCCAGTCATATTTTGAATGCCTTCCAACTTGAGCCTCTCATCTTCTGCTGGCACTATATCAAACTATGTACCTCTGCAGTTCACAAGGTGTTCACTGACCAAGTCTTTTTAGAAGTATATTTTCAGGTCCTACTTCCTGTTCTGTTTTTAGTGTGGAAGCTCCACTGAATTCTGTCCACCATGGATGACCTTGGTGGTATTTGAAATACTAGTGGCATATCTTCCAGCATCATAGCAACACACAAGCCACCGCAGTAC